GTTTAGTTCGGGTTAAAGTCCACACTGACGGGTATAGTGAATTAAAAGCTTGTTGTTGCGAAAACTTATTTTTGCACTGCGTATTCACAATAAAATTCAGCGGTTTGTAAATATTTCTCACGGCCCTTATTTTAATTTTTCAGTCTATAATGTGGAATGTGACTTTTTGTTATATATTGGCATTTTATGCTAAATTTCTATATTTTATGATTGTGCCAAAACAGGATGAATTGTGCCAAAAGTGCATCTGAGAATGAAAGTGCCAAAAATGGCACTATTGTGCCTACTTTTCCATCACTGCTTCACGGTAAGTGAAGAGACCTTCGCTTCTAAAGAGGTTACTCTGTGTGTCTTCTTAGACATGGAGGGAGCTTTCAATAATACTGAGTACACCTCTACCTCGAGGGCTATTGTATTAAGCATACTTTCTGGTATATAGTGGTCGAAGTAGAATATCTCAACCAGACCTCAATGGATTTTCTAAATTCCTGTTTATTTGCGTTCAAATTTCTTTTAAAATTAATATCAACAAAAAGTTTCTTTAACGTAACATTAAGTATAAATGGTTCCGAGCGCAGACGTCCACGTAAGCGCGGTAAGCTTCGACTGCGACCAAACACCTGTTTGCGAGCGAGCTAAAGTTGAAAAAGCGAAAAAACTTCGCGTGCGCTGGGTTTTGGTCCCCGAACATAAAACATCGGATGAGAGCCTTTTTCTTTGATGACGACCACGGCAAACGTATAATTATGAGTGTGATTTGAGAGTATGCACCTGTGGTATCCGGACCCTTAATGGGGAAGGTGCCTCTGCTCGGCTGGTTGATGTCGTAGGGAGGACAAAGGCTGACATCACCGCCACCCAAGGAATACGTGTAGCCTTGCGACATCTACTAATGCTGCCACGTAAAGGTGTGTCGAGTACTGTCGCTCACCCTGGTGGACGAGCATGTAGCCACAATCCGAATCAAAGCAAAATTCTGCAACATCTCGCTCAGGCGTCGAAGTATCTTTTCTATGGGCGATTGGAGAATACGAGCAATGTCCGATAACGGACTGAGGCTGATCGACTTCGACGTGGCCCAAAACTCGGTCGTATGTAGTACTAGGTTCCAGCATAAAAATNAACATTAAGTATAAGCGGTAAGCTTCGACTGCGACCAAACACCTGTTTGTTTAATGGGGAAGGTGCCTCTGCTCGGCTGGTTGATGTCGTAGGGAAGACAAAGGCTGACATCACCGCCACCCAAGGTACACGTATTCCTTGCGACATCTACTAATGCTGCCACGTAAAGGTGTGTCGAGTACTGTCGTTCACCCTGGTGGACGAGCATGTAGCCACAATCCGAATCAAAGCAAAATTCTGCAACATCTCGCTCAGGCGTCGAAGTATCTTTTCTATGGGCGATTGGAGAATACGAGCAATGTCCGATAACGGACTGAGGCTGATCGACTTCGACGTGGCCCAAAACTCGGTCGTATGTAGTACTAGGTTCCAGCATAAAAATTTCCATCAAGCCACATGGCTGTCCCACGCCCGATAATTGTACCAGAAAGTTAAGTGACTTACGGATGATTCCAATATCGGGGCTAACTATTGTAAGAACAGCCATAGCGACGTAGTGACCGACCTTCAAAACGTACTTAAATTATATAGGGAATACTTTTCCAGCAAATTTTGTGAAAGTCTGAATCCCAACGTGAACGAACTGAGTGGGCCCAACCAGTGTAGCTTTAAATATGGCAAGTCCATATGACTCGCTAGACAAACACCATCTACTTGTCGATTCCAAAGTCACCTTCGACAGCACGAAAAGAAATTGTCTTTATGCCGCGCTGTCTGAGTTTTGTATCCTCGCGAAATGGTGCTCTGCCAGAATTACCGGTGTTAAAATGTTTAATGCGATTTTTTGTGTTAGGTATGGAATGAAAATCAAAGAAAAATGCTGTCCTGATATTCTACTTCAGCGAGTTCTCATTTAAAAAGTATACCTTGCCAATGGGTATACAAATATTCAAATTCATCTGCGTCTAGACACACCCTTTCAAAAGTTTCGCAGGGCGCGAAAAAGTACGCTTTGCGATGATGAAGTACAACAATATCGCATAGGTTTGTATTTTCCCCCGCCAGGAAACACAAAGAAGGGCTTGGGATGCTTCGACTTGATCCAATATCTGTGTGGGTAGACGGGTTTTTGAGCTCTTTCGACACTCATACATACAACCTTTAGGAATGAGCGAACGGGAAGCAGTAGTTGCAATACGACAACGGTGAATTTCTACACGGATGGGTTGAATTTGTTATCAAATCAAAGAGGACTAAAATAGCTTTCAAACAAAAATATGCAAAAGAAGGTTACCATTTAATTTAATACAAATATATTCATATATCAGACCCAAGGTTTGTGCTACGGTAATTAAAAAAATTTTAATTGAAATATTTTTCGTTTAGATATTTCAGTTTGCAATTTTAGTCCTTTTTCTTGTTTAATTTGGATATGCGTTAATTTTATTAGGAAAGGACTTTTATTTCGGCCTTGAAAATTTTTGGTCAGTGTAACTGTTATTACTGGACTAAAAAGATGACAGTCCAGGTTGACCGATTATTTTATTTCAAATAAAATAAAAGTCAAAAAATAACTCTTTTCTAACGACTTTTATTATAAAAGTTACAAAAGTCCAGGTCCCTGTTTTTCACACCGAATCGTCACTGTTTAAAGAACAATGAGGTGGATTCAAAACTTTGTCTTTGGCTGCCTAGATTTTTGACTTAAGTACAAAGTAAGTTGTTCCTTACAAGAATGCATCATTTTTAACTTAAACATTGACATTGTTATGAAGTTATAAAAATGACCAAAATTTGATTTGGTTGGTTAATTTAGCTATTTTTTTAGCCATAACTAAAATTTTGATTTAGCTTTGTTTAGCTTTATTTTTTTTGAAGANAATGACCAAAATTTGATTTGGTTGGTTAATTTAGCTATTTTTTTAGCCATAACTAAAATTTTGATTTGGCTTTGTTTAGCTTTATTTTTTTTGAAGACTCCCCAAGGGGGACTTACTTAGGCATTGATAAGACTCTATATTACTGTATTAAATTTTTCCTTACATACATACATTTTTCTCGAAAGTGCTGTACATATATAATATTTCAGGTTTTCTCGAATGTATGATTTTCGAATTAAGCGACTATTGCTTATGACCACAGATATTAATTCCTAACAATGTCGACAGTGACATTTTCTATGTAATTATTATTGTGCCTTATTAAACCATAAATAACTAATACTATTTTCTTGTGAAATAAAATATTTCTAAATACATGACTGCGGTATTAAGGTGAAATGGAGTATATAACCAACGCAACCTGTCGGTCGTCTAATGAGGAACATCCAACAAATTATAAGTACACATGTACCACAGAAATGAATGTATGGGGATTCATTCGCCTCACAATCACAGATTTAATAAATGCGACACCTTGGTAGATCTCCAAAAACAGCTACTCAACAAAAAGCATGATCTATACACAAACAAAAAAAAGTCGCGTTGATATCATAAATTCAATTGAGCTATTATCACATAACAGGCAAATCACGCACACTACCTCCCGGCATCAATGAGAAATGCTTTGCATACAGTGTTGCCAGAGAAAAATTTCGTTTGGAGCTAAAACGGTCAAAAAAAGAGCTAAATAATACTAATAGTAGCTAAAATAAGAGCTACATATTTTTGTTAAGGTTGAGCCAAGGCACAATAAACAGGTAGTATCAGTAGAGCATAAACAACATTTGCGTGTATTTTGTTTTTGCTTCTGGTATCGAAAGTGTCAAAAACTGTTCTGAATTTTTTCTTCTAAATCAAAGCGTGCCATGTGAAGTACAAAAAATTATAAAAAATAAAAAATTGAAATTGGAAAAACTAAAAATTGATGCAACTTTCTTTCCTAGTAAATTTGTTTGCTTCTCGAAGCATTGATCCATCCTTTGCAAGGCCCAGTAATCAGCGGTCGTGCTGCCGAGTTGGGCGAACGTTCCAAAAGCTGCTATTCAATCGCTTGTTTTGTATGGAAAAAGGTTTCACAAGCAAATGGATTTTAACAATTCAGAATTTTTGTGAGAAAAAATTAAAAATATTTGACATTTTCGAGACCAAATAATTTGAAAATAAATCAAATCAGCTGCTCTACTGATACTACCTATTCAATGTACCTTGGGTTGAGCATTTATTGACGTAAGGTTGTTTTAGATTTTCGGAATTTTTAATAAAAACAAACGAATTTTATAAGTTTTAAATGCTAAATCTTTTAAAACCAAAATAAGGTGCATATATTTCGAATTCTTATAATAGTGAACTAAAAATACTTTACAAACTGTTAAAGTCTGTAATTTCAGATATTTGAATTGAATAATTTTTTCCCAAAATTTTTCTGGAAAGTTTTACCTCCAGCTCTCCTTAAAGGTAAAGTTAGTAAGATAAAACAAAATCCGCGATATCAGAAAAAGGATTTTCTTTTAATTAATTTTTGAATTCTTTAACCTAGATCCAAGAGTTTATGGTGGATACACAGCATCTCGAAATTTTCCATTTTATCAACGCTTTAATTTTGGCTTATATACACTAAATACAACTAAAACTTTCTGGAGCTAAAAAAGTGCTACATAAATTTGAAAAGAGCAAGGAGCTAAAACCCGATTTTCGGAGCTAAATAGAAAAACAAAAAGCTAAATCTAGCTGCAAAAGCAGCAAAATGGAAACACTGTTTGCATACGACTATCATCCACACAAACTCATTAATTTGCCAATTTTAATAGTTCGTAGACTTTGAAAACTGCAGCATTTGAGAATTTGACGGCGGCACGTACGGTTTGAAAGCGCATCGCAAAGCGCGAATTCGAAAATACTTTTACAGCAAGTGAGCTACTACTGAAAGTTCAAAGAATATTTGCATATTATAGTGAATAGCGTAGCTAAGTAGTACCTAATATTTTTATTTAACGATCAACCATTAAAAAAGTAACTGTTTGACACAAAGCGATTACGAACGCGCGTGAAAATATTTTCATTATTTAGTGGAAGTGTTTTAGACGTAAACACCTAAACAGCTGGGAACGGTAAAACAATTTGAAGTAAAAAATATATACCCACATACATACATAATGTGCAAAGATAAATCAAACGTCAGCACAACTAGCGTACACGCTACTGAAATTTATTCGTCGGAAGTATCGTTAGATGTACCACCAGATGCCCTGTACACAAGCTCCAGTAACTGTATTATCGAGGAAGTGGATACGAACAATGAACGAGATTGCTGTCAGACCACCACTATTTGGCTGAAGAACACCGCTTCGAATATATTTCGCAAAAAGACACTCTACAAACGTTTACCTATTTTAGCTTGGTTGCCTAAATATAACCAAAAAGATTTAATTGGTGATTTGGTGGCCGGCATAACTATTGGTTTGACTGTGATACCTCAAGGCCTGGCTTTTGCTGGCATAACGGGCCTGGATTTGCAAGTGAGTGAGAGTTTATAAAGAAATTTGATATTATTGAATACAATTTGTTCCATCGGAGGATATGTATGTATGTATATTACGGCGTGTAAATTTTTTTCTACATCGTTCCTACCAGATTCGGATGTTATAAAAAATTCTATGAAAAAAAGTCCATCAGACCATAGCGCTAAATTCAGTTTGGAACTTGGAAAATTTTAAAAGGTATTTTTGACTAATACAAAGTTAATATGCTGATTACCATTTATAATAGTGTTAAGAATGTTAGTTTTTTTTAATAAAAACTTCTGTATGGTGGTTTTTCATCTGACAAATTTATTTATTTGTATCTATTTTTTGTATAAAGATCCAAGATGGCCTTACAAAGCAAATTATGTGTACAGTATCGGTGAAATTAATAGCATCCCCATTTCAAAGTGATATTGTTTGCCACTCATGTTTATTTACTTCAAAAAAAAAAAGGAGCAGATTATCAATTTGTCGGAATATTTTTTTTATGTATGTTACCGCATAACTTTGGACCACCTAAGCCAATTTTTTTATTTCTTTTTTTTTAAGGAAATTTTGGTCTTTATGGGCTTAAGAGAAAGTTCTTAAAAGCACATAAATAAGAAGTTCAAACTAACAATATGGGGGTGCTATTGAGATGTCAAATTAAGGCGCTTGGTCTGTAGACGTGCAAACTGGTTTTAGTTTTTCGAAAATAGCTGCCACCTGTTGAAATATTAAGTTCATATTATTTAATAATCAAGGCCATCAAATCCGCACCGTTCGTTTGATTTTCCAAAATGAAGCGTCAAACTAAAAGCCTTAGACTGTACATGTGCAATAAGATTTTTTTTTGAAAAGAGTCGCCACCTTTTAAAAAGTTTTATTCGAATTAGTTATTTAAAACAATAAATCAATTATTACAAACTGGGTATCAATCGAAATGGCTTTGAAAAGCTTTGTTTCTTAGCTGAACTATAGGAGGGTTGCTGCCCCCTGTTAAAAAAGTCATCCCCATATGGATGACACCGGAAAGGGGTTTCCGAAAGTAGTAGTTTGAAAATATTTTGAAGAGAGTTGACACTTGCTTGAAATGTCGAATTTAGGTTACTTATTCACAAGCTATACGAAATATCATAATATGGATGTCAATCGAAGGAGTCTTAAGAAATCTTTAGTTTGAACGCTAAGAATATTTCAGAGATGTTGAAGGAGGGTTGTCACCTGTTTAAAAAGTTAAATTGAAAATATTTAACAAGTTTAATGAATTTTTAAAATATGGGTATCAGTCGAATGGGAATTGAAAAACTTTGAGCTGTACTTAGCGGGGTTGTCACATGATTAAAAAATCAAATTCCACTTAATACATCAGTTAATTAAAATATGTATCGCAATGTTAGGCGAAGGAGAGTTAACAAGGACCATGTATACATCACTTTCCGACAGGACTCATGGAAGAAAATTTATGGATAAATAAAGATGTAATGAGTGGTCAAATGAAAATGTGCAAAGATTTTTCGTATGAAATATGAATGGAAAAGCGTGTTACTCAGGTGTGCGTGGCGTATGAGTAACATTCTTTCCTGCTCATTTTTCATACAAAAAAATTTTGCGCATTTTCCTTTGACCACTCATTATTTCTTTACTTATCCATCATACTCGGAAAATAATGATTGTAAAGTTAGGTTACTCGGTAACAGTTAAAATTACTATTGGAATGAATTTTCTTTAAAAAGGTGCACCAATCTTTTCTCTTCTGTACCAACGGACGCCAAGTGAAAATTCTCCAGCTGCTTTTCAATCGCAGAGGACGCTTACCTCTTCCAATAAAACTTCAGGTGGAATCTGAGTTGAATACTTTTAGAGCTGGAGCATTTGTGCCTATTGTACAATTTACAAAACACTAACAACATCAACAACAACAACAAACTATTAGCTGCATTTTTGTAAGCGAGTGACAAAAGAACGCTCAACTCGGGTAAAATTTCCTGTTAGCTACTTAAGCAACCCTGATTTAGATACAAAAATCAATTTAAATGAGTAATAATGCGAGGTATTTGCGTAATGTATATAATCATTTAAAATATAAGTCACGCATATAAGGAAAAAAACAACTCACTCTCCACTTTCCCATTAACAATTCACAATAGAGCTTTTTTTCACTTACCAACACTTCCCTTCAGGTCGCACTTTTTTTTAACCTACCTGGCTGAATTGCCGAGTTTGTATTGTTGCTTTGCGTGTAATTCGTCATTTAAGCGAGCGTTCCTTTGTAGCTCGGCATGCAAATGCATGCACCTCTTATTGCGCTTGTAATCTTCCAAATCAAATCCCGTCTCGCCATACACTTTGATTTAAATTTTCTAGTTGTTATTGTTTCATCTTTATCAGGAATTTTTAAAAACATATTTGACGTTGTTTTGAAACTTAGNAAATGCATGCACCTCTTATTGCGCTTGTAATCTTCCAAATCAAATCCCGTCTCGCCATACACTTTGATTTAAATTTTCTAGTTGTTATTGTTTCATATTTATCAGGAATTTTTAAAAACATATTTGACGTTGTTTGAAACTTAACGATATAAAATAATTTAAATATTTTTTCTTAGAATATAGAAGTAATACACTGTGCGTCGCCGACTATATTCTGTATGTATAAAAGTTGATGCATTCTTCTTATAAACTTCTCTCCGCCGTATTTGACTAGCTAAACTGGCAAGCCGTCAGCTCCAGTAGCCTTTTTTGCATCCGCGAAATTGCCATCCGTACTACATAAGAGTCGAGTGTAGGAACATCAGTTCCCTCAACATAGACTAACAGATCTATTCTGCGCTGGTAATAAAAGTTTTGTAACCGGTGAATGAAGTTTCTCTCAATNCCGTACTACATAAGAGTCGAGTGTAGGAACATCAGTTCCCTCAACATAGAGTAACAGATCTATTCTGCGCTGGTAATAAAAGTTTTGTAACCGGTGAATGAAGTTTATCTCAACTTTTAAACCCTTTTCACATTCTGTGTACTCTTTCCACCGGTAAATTCCGTTACCATCTCATAAGCTGGTAACAAAGTATTGCCCCGTGAAATACGCATTGCCAGAATTTCCACAATTCTTCATAGCTGCAGAATAGATCTGTAAGAGTCAGATTGACCCTCTTGGCTGGCTGAAGTGCTGTTACCATTCCATAGGGTAAAAAAGTGTTATCCTTATAATAATATTCCGGATTTTCTTTTCTTCCTTCAAATAATATGTCTTTTGTCTGTGGGCCATCCTTTTTCGCTGCAGCTTCATGAAATGCCTCTTCTTACCTGTTGATCTTTAGGGTCCACAAAAATCCTACTACTTTTTCGGTAGCGGCACGCAATGAGCGGGAAGTGTAGTTTCACTGCTCCCATGTGTCGGTTTGTTGAAGAAGAAGAATGTTTAAATGCGGAGTGCAAAACTGATTCAGACTCTCCCACCACAAATGCAATGCCGATTGCGCTATATTATATGGAAGCTGTAGTAGTTGTCGGAGGACCCCATGCGGGTTTTGTTGCCCCTTGCACCGTCCATCCCATTTATTGGATGCCATACTTGTATGAATGTCAGTGATAGTGCTCCCCTACGACATCAATCAGCCGGGTAGAGGCACCTTCTCCATTAATGATTCGTATATTCCAGGTCCATGCCCTAAAATCGTAATCTTTTGTTCGTTCGCCGTGGTCGTCATCAAAAGAAACAGATAATCAACCTTTTTGGAACTTATTTCTTTTATTTATTGATACTTTTCAACTCTATTTTGGTTGCAAAACAGTTGTATACGTTCATGCATATGCATATACAAATGTATGTATGTATGTAAATGGCGTCTTTTTAGAAACTTAAATTTGAATTTTTATCTGGTTTATTATTTATGAATAATGAGAGTCATCATGATGAAACTCAGCTAGAATCTCTCAAGGTTAGAATCGCCACCATAATTAGATATGTATGTACTATTATCATTACAATAGCGAAACTTAACGCTGGTCAGCAAAGCAGATCACGACGTTCACAAGTTCTATGTTAAAAGAAATGCGAAGAATAAAAAATAAATACTACAATTTCAGTTCCAACAACCGGNTTAAAAGAAATGCGAAGAATAAAAAATAAATACTACAATTTCAGTTCCAAAACCGGTTGTTTCTGGAATTATCAAATGAGAAAGAAAAAAATCACATTGATGAAAGAAAATAAGCATAAATAATTTTGATCTCTTTTGAAAATAACTACCCAATAAACACCTAATAACCATTTTGGCGATCGTTCGAAAATTATCTTCGATATCCAATATGAATATGGAACTGAGAACCAACTAATAACCAAACTTAGTTTTCCACTGTTCATAGTATATTGGAAATACAGTCGAGATGGGTTCGAAAAAATTGGAAACCATAGTAACAAGAGAGAAAGTGAAATCCTGCACGTTCTCGGAGGGAAATATAAGAAAATCACTCTCTCTCTCATTAAAATTCCAATTCGATAGCGAAGGAAAAATACATTGGATAGCAAAGGTACCGTTTTGCTGGAGAATGGCCTAGTTCTCGAATCGAATACTAACCTATTTCACATTCGTTATCGAAGGTGAGACTCGAAAAAAAGTATGTGCGCCTGGGCCACACTGGAGAAGTGAAACACACGTTACATATCTATTTTGTCTCATAACCAATATACATATATACATATATCTGCTTTTGCTTAAGGTTATATTTTTTGTCTTTTTTTCTGTCATAGATACATCTACCCCTGTACGATGTAATTACATTTATGTTATTCTGTTTTCCTTTATATTCATTTTTATACCCGAGCGCACTTGTGCACAAGGGTATATTAATTTTGTTCACATAACGGTTGTTTGTAACAGCCAAAACGAATCGAGATAGATATAGACAAATGTATACATAAATGATCAGAAACGTTGAAAATTATTGAAATCGGACTAAAATAACGGCCGCTTCTCATATAACGGTAAATTTCAGAAATGCTTGAAACTTCAATATTTCGAAATTGAAGGACGCTAATTTACTCAAA